AAAACCCCCCCCCCCCCCCCCCCCCCCCCCCCGGATTGAGGCGCAAAATAGGGGGTTTAGGCGGCACGCTTGCAGCAGTCTATTGTATAGGATTTAGTGTGTCCATAGTAAAACCGATATTCTCTTCGTTGAATAGACTTTCGTGCCGCATTCTAAAACCCATAAAATTATCTTCATTTGGAGGCTTCGTGTCGTGATACTAATTCCTACACCATACACTAGACCTCGCGGCCAAGATTGACGCGTTTTCTTGGGGTGTTTTCATAATTTCCACTTGCTCTCTGTGTGGGATCCCGCGCGCGCGCGCTGAAAAAAGCGCCCGCAAATGTCGAACCCCCCGGGGACTATGTCTAAAATGTCCCCGACCGGGGACATATAAGGCCCATCCCCCCCCCCCCCCCCCGCGACCAAGATTGCAGCGTAGCAGGGGTGTTCCGACCTTTCCAGATGGAGGGCCCCTTGTGCGCTCCCTTCGCTCCGACAACGAGGGACCTAAGCCCCCAACTCCGCCTCTTTGCCCCGCAACCCTACTTGTCTCCGGAGAGACACATGATACATGATACATGATACATGTACCTCCTTCTCTTGTTCTGTGAGCGTGAGGCGTGGAGCGACAGTATCCTCGCCAAGCTTCGCTTTGCCAGCGACGGTACATACATCGCCGAGACTTTCCAACGCGACTGGCGCTTAGGCTCGTCATCGCCCCCCGCCCCATCCCCAGATTTCAAACCAACCGCATGGCTGGGGGATTCGAGCTACCGTACCTTCAGTGGTCGACAGCGGGCCCCGACCGACGAAGCCAAACGGCAATAGCGACGTTACCGGGAACGCTACGGCCGCTATACACCGCAGCACTAGCAAGACAACAAGAGTGTGTGGGGTGGGGTCACGGGGATCACCCTTCATCGAATGATCGATAGCTGCTATTCTCGCGTTTTCTACCGCTTTTATTATGTCAACGTATGTAACCGACCCACCACTGGCACGCAATCCCTACGATTCCTGGGGACCTCCCCCCCCCCCCCC